ATCGGCCAGCGCCTCGATGCCAGGAGGCGGCAGGCGGCCAAGATCACCCGCTCCGGGACCGTCAACTCCACGAGCTTCCTTGTTGCACGTGACTCGAATGCCTGCCTGCAGCTGATCACTCCGCAACGGAGGGGTGTCCTCCTCAGCTGCCTTCTGGCGGATGTACCCAAGGGCCTGCGCGATGCTCTCGGGCGTGTCCACCGCGTCCGTCCATAGATTGCCCCACTTCGACGACTTGGTGGCCATGATGGTGATGGGGTCTGCCACCGCGTTCGCCACAATGGAGGTGGCCGTGACCTCCACCTTGGCACCCTCAGGCCGAGGTGCAACAGGATCTCGCACGCGTCGGTGAAGCACCCCAGGGGAGGTGCGCCACCTGCGACGGACCCAATCAGCGCAGGCCTTGCGCGCCTTGCCGGTGCCACGTGCAACCTCGCAGGCCGCCGCCGCCTCAACATCAATCACCACCTGGGTCAAGCCCTGGACGAGCTGGTCGCTGGTGAGGCCATCGAGGCCCTCGTAGAGCGTGGCGATGTGGTCGAGGGCCTCGCGAGGGCGACCTTGGCCCGCTCACGTAGACCAGGTCGCTGGTCAAGATAGCGCTGTCGTAAGAGCTGAACTCGCGCTGCAGCGCTAGCCAAGGCGCTGCACATCTGGTCATCATCTCTGTCGTGCAAGAAAATGGCAAACGCCCTCCTGCAGAGGGTGCCCATAACAGACCAATGCTCTGCTCCATCAAAATTCCAGTGGCCGCGCCCTGGGGAGGAAACAGACTTCTTCCAAGTAGCTGCAAAACCGCGGGCCCTACCAGCAAAGGGCGCTCTCTCCTGGGGTGTCCCATTCGGGTCGAGGAGGGCCTGCTCAACTTGATCAACCCATCTGCCGTGGGACTCGGAGAGGTCGTCATCCCCCTTGGGGGCCCAGCCAACAATTGGAGTGGCGCGGATCCTGCGCAACTCCGCCGTGAAGGTGTACCGCTGCTGACACTCGTCGCCCTGCGCGTAGACTGGTGAGCTGCTCTCCCATCGGCCGACGCTGATGGCTAACACGTCACCCTCCAACGCAGGTTTGTCTGAAGGTTGGCGCAGGCATTGGAAAGCACCCTGATGGTCAACAGGGAGGCCTCCTTGCGCCTCTGGGGCGCTGCCTGCTTACGCTGGTAACTCTTGCTGTTCGGGCCGGGGGCAGTCGGCGGTCGCTCAACAGTTGGGATCTTCCCCGGCAGGACAACGGTGCGATGCCACCGCGCCGTCGACGAGCCCTCAATCTTGAAGTGGAGGCCGCAGTGAACCTTACAGGGGACCGCGAGTATGCCTTTGACCGCGATGAGGTGGGCCACCGACTCCGACGCCACCACGTAATCTATCAGGGGGCACGCGCCCTTGTCACAGGTCACCTCGGCATCTGGGAGGCCCGCAAGTCCTCCTACATCCTTCAGGAAGGGGTTGCCCGAGAGAACCTTCGGGGTGATGTTCCAGTCGGCAACGATGATCCATGGGTCCGAGACCGAAGCCAAGAAGGCTCGGGGCGAAGCCCATCTGTCCAGGCCAAGGCCCCCGAACCCGTGCTTCGGCAAGAAGTGCGCCGAGATGGCGATGAGGTTGCCAGCGCGAAAGCCCCAAGTCGTGGCAACCCAGCCACGGACGGGGCCCTTGAGGCGCTCCGCCGTCATGAGGGCCCGCTGGCGATCGAAGGAGGTCGTGACCAGGTGAGAACAGGCCAAGATCCACTCTCCTCCGCTCGCGCCCTCAGTCGAGCGGCCTGCGAGGGTGGCCGCGCACTCCGAGAGCTCCCAGCCGCCCACGTCCACGTCCAAGCCGGCACGCTGCTGGACCGGCTTCTCGTCGGCAACGTGGGCCCCCGCAAATGCCATCACGCCGTAGTTGCGCTTGTTCTCGACCACAAACTTGTGGATGCGCAGCCCCCACTCCGTGATGTTCGCGAAGACGAGGGACACATCAGCACGGGCAGTCGGCTTCTTCTTCTTCTTCGAAGTGGGCCTTTCTGCTGGCACCTGCCACGCGCCGCCATCATCATAGTAGTACTCGAAACGGGGTGCAGCATCTGGCCCAATGAGATCCCTGAGCTCCTGCTCAATGGCCCTCGCCGCGTCCCAGATGCGGCTGACCTCCGCGCGCCAGTGGGAGAAGTCATCCAACTGCGCCAGGCGGTCCAGGTGCACGAGGACAGACGCGCGGATTGCAGCCGACCTGCACCAAGCCCTGTCACAGACCCCCTCCGCTTCGGTGATCGCGCACTGAGTGGTGAGGAGGACGAACACCACACAAGACTGCCTCCACCTCACAGCGCCACTCTCAGGGCATTGGGGCACTCAGTCCAATGAGCTGCACGTTTCTCCATATCATCAACAAGCCGCTGCTGCGGCGAGACCACCAGTTGATGGGGGCCCTGCTGAGCCCGCCCGCGGAGACGCCGACGAGACAGACGACGCCGATGCAGAAGTCGCCGCCGCCCTTGCCGTGGACGCCCCCGCCCCCAGGGAGACGCGTCCCGGGCCACGCGGGGCGTCGTCGCGATACTGTTTCCCATCGCCGCCGCCAGAGGGGCAAGTGGCCCGAGGGAAAAGCAAGCCTGCCTGCTCCAGTTCCACACCAAAGCGAACGTCGCTGTAGTTGATGTCCTCGAAGGGGTCGAAATCTGCTTGCTCCATGGTGGTGATACCCCCTCTTCTGAGGAGGGGCCTTGGCCTTATGAGGCGGTCCGCCAGGAGGCTGCTTGCCAGGGACAGGAGGAGCAGCCGCAATCCCCACATCAGCAGATGACTTCGCCACTGGAACGGCATTCGAAGCGGATCGCTCCAGACGCTCACGGGCCGCTTGGAGCTTGGACGCTCGAGCCACAGCAGCTGGGTCAGACTGCTCTGGGGGCTCGGGGCCCGCAGCAGGGGCCTTGGCGCCTCCCCCGCTACCTCCGTCAGGGGGGACCGCTCCGCCCCTGCCAGCCGACGCTGCCTGCGCGGGGCCAGCGGGGCTGCCCGCGGGGTCCGCCGCAGCCTCTGGCACGCTGGGGGCATCAGCCGTGCGCCGCCTCTTGAGCGGAGCCTGCGCCGCTGCCACCGTAACCCCCTCGAGCGCCACCTGGACGGCCTGGATGACCGCCTTGGCATGGGCCTTGGTTTCGTCCATGGCCGTGGTAGCGATCTGGAGCTTCGTCGTAGCTTTCCCGTCCTCGTGCTCGTCCGCCGAGATGCTCTTGAGCTTCTCGCCGAACGCCGCCAGGAAGTCAGGCTCTGAGCACGCTTGGCTTGGCTCAGGTGCCGTCGGGGAGCGGTACTTGTTGTAGGCCAGGACCGCCGCCTGGTGGGCCTCCTCCGCATCCACGAGTTCCTCCACAGCCTGGTCGTAGTCCTCTCGCGCCACCTAGAGGCGCCTCTCCAAGTTGCCAATCTCCGTGGGAAGGTCGTGGGCGTTCGTAGCCGCCTGCTTCGCCTTGGCCCCCGTCGACTTGAGCTGCTCCAAGGGCGACCGCGACTTCGCCAAAGCTGGCGTCTCCACTGCCTGCTTGATAGCCAAAATTAGTGCCGTAACCGAGGAACCATGCTGTGCAATGGCCTCGAGCTGGTTGAGGAGCTTCGCCTTACACCAAGGGGTGAAGATCGCAGGCGGTGAAGCAGCAGGTACAGCTCCCCCTTGCCGCTTCGGGGGTCCTCCCTTGGGCTTATCCTTACCCTTGTTCTTCTTAGGAGAATACAGCTGCTGCGCCTGACCACACACCGAGCATATACTCCGCCAGCCCTGGTGATGCGCCATTTCCTATCCCACTGCTGGGCAGCACGACAGGACGGGGTCGAGCACATGGTAGATTCGTGCGAGGCTGCTGCGGCGCCATGGCAGACACTGGGTCGGAGAAAGGGCTTGTACCGTCACGCAGCTAGCGACGGGATCGGGATCCCCTGAAAACACTGTCGGGCAGAGCTGCCCTGGCACTGGCCGCGGGCTAGCGGTATCCACGTGTTCCCCATGTGGGACAAAGCATAGTGAGCCAAAATGGCTACGGATGAGGAGAGGGAGGAGGAGGAGGAGGAGGAGGAGGAGGAGGAGGAGGAGGAGGAGGAGGAGGAGGAGGAGAGGAGGAGGAGGGAGGAGGAGGAGGAGGAAAGGGGAGGGAGGAGGGAGGAGGGGAGGGAGGAGGGAGGGCGGAGGGCGGAGGGAGGAAGGAGGAGGGAGGAGGGAGGAGGAGGAGGGAGGAGGGAGGAGGGAGGAGGAGGAGGAGGGGGGAGGGAGGAGGGAGGAGGGAGGAGGGAGGAGGAGGAGGAGGGAGGAGGAGGAGGAGGAGGAGGAGGAGGAGGAGGAGGAGGAGGAGGAGGAGGGAGGGAGGAGAAGGACGAGGGAGGAGGGAAGGACGAGGGAGAAGGAGGGAGGAGGAGGAGGAGGAGGAGGAGGAGGAGGAGGAGAAGGTGGGAGGAGGAGGAGGAGGAGGAGGAGGAGGAGGAGGAGGAGGAGGAAGAGGAGGAAGAGAGGAGGAGGAGGAGGAGGAGGAGGAGGAGGAGGAGGAGGAGGAGGAGGAAGGACGAGGGATGAGGAGGAGAGGGAGGAGGAGGAAGAGAAGAGGAGGAGGAGGAGGAAGAGGAGGGGGGGAGGAGCAGGGAGGAGGAGGAGGAGGAGGAGGAGGAGGAGGACGAAGGACGAGGGAGAAGGAGGGAGAAGGAGGAGGAGGAGGAGGAAGAGGAGGAACAGGAGGAGGGACGAGGAAGGAGGGAGAAAGAGGAGGAGGAGGAGGAGGAGGAGGAAGAAGAGGAGGAGGAAAGCCCGTCCGCTCCACGGCGATCGTTCAACCTTGAATCGATCGCGGCCCCGATCGTTCGAGGTTGAATACAGCGGGGTTCAGTGGCGGTACCGTCCATTGGTGCTTCCGCGCTCCAGAATTCAAACTTGAACGCCGTCGCTGGCGTCGCCAGCGCGCCAACGCTGCATGAACCTAAACGTAAGCGAGGAGGGAGGGGGAGAGCAGGGAGGGGGGCAGTGCATCGCATCGGAGGCAGATTGTCCCTGGTCCTCCAGCGCCTCTTGGACGCGCTGGCCCTCCGAGATGGACACGTCCAGCTGCCTCTAAAGTCGATTAACCCCATTCTGTCGAATGTCATGCCCAGTCCTCCTCCCCTTCCCCCCCTTTCTCCCTTCTCCCCTCCCCTCCCCTCATCCGCCCACGTCCTCCTTCCTGATACATCCTCCCCCCCATCCACCCGTATCCATCCTCCCTTCGCTCTTCGCGTACTCGCTTACTCCTCCTAACTCCTCCCTCCTGCCGCCCCCCCAGGCCTCCTCAACGCTGTTCCATCATGTGCCAGCCCGTCTCTGTCCAGGCGGCCCCAGCATCGAATCGATAAGCCGGATCGGGTCGACCGGAGCATCGAATCGGCAGAAATCGGCAAAAGACGGCAGCCAAATCGAAATCGGCTGAGGTCGGCAAGTCCGAGCCAAATCGAGTCGGAAACCGGACCGCGTCAAGCCGGATCGGAATCGAAATCGGACCCCCCCCCCCCTGGGGGGGGAGGGGGAAGACAGAGATCCTCCCCCTCCCCCTCCGCATCCTCGTCACCCGCCGCTCTTCAGCATGAGCGACTCGTCCTCGGTACAACACCAGGCGTGTCGGTGGGGCGGCCTGGACGGTTCGCCAGCGACTGCCCCACCACCGCCCAACAGCTGCGCGGAGGGAGAGCGGATGTTGGTCTGATTGCCCTTACCCGTAAACATTACTCGCGCCTTCGTTTCGTGACCGTTTGCTCCCCCCCCGGGGCTAAACAATTGCGGGGTGGTCCCTCCTCAAAGTCCGTCTGTTGCTGTGACACCTCATCGTGCCGCACTGTAGCCGTGCTTGGCGTCAGCATGGGCTGCAGGGGTGGAGGGCCGGGCTCTCGCTGGGGAAGTCTTCACATATTACAGCAGTGTGTACAATGACGCACTGGTGCACTAACGAAGGGCGACTCGTCTCCATAATCGTGGTATCGGCGGGGGCGTGCAACTTCCTGAAATAGTATGCCACACCCAGACATATACAAACCTGCATACACTGGTGTATCTATATGTAGACATCAAGCACACCAAACTGTATATGCTAGAACCATCGCGCGAGCTTCGCGCACGCCCAGGTTCTAGCTGGTCGAGTGCTGACCGCATTGAGACAGACACCAAGGCGGTCATGAATAATGAAGTCAACATTCTCTGTTTCCTCCTGCCGCTTCCTCATTCCTCCTCCTCTTCCGCTCTCATCGACCCGTCGACTGGTGATATGTCGCCAAGCTATGGGCCAGGAAAAATGCAGCGCTACAGCGCCATGTTGCACTATGCTATGGAATGCCATGATACACCATGCTACGGTATGAAGCGCAATGTCACGATGTAGTACGCAATGCAAAAACAAACATGATTGTCTCTACACTGCGCATTGCATGCCATGCCATGCTGTGCTGTGCTGTGAAATGCTATGAACATGTATGGGATAATACGCTGAGCCATATCATGCTATGCTCCCTATGAAGAGCGATGCTACCGCGTTACATGGTATGCACCGACACGGTATGCTAGGCTATGCAATGCAATGCAATACAATGCAATGCAATGCAATGCAATGCTATGCTATGCCATGCCATGAGCTGCTGGGCTAGAATATACAGGACGACAGTAAGAACAACAAAAGGGGTGTGATATTTACACGATGTCCGTTTACTGTTGCGCAGACCAGTACGGTGCTGTTCGATCATAATGTTACGTGCATTGGAATGCCATAATACGTCACGATGTCTCATGAGATACAATGCCATGCCAGACAATGTTACGTCATGACGTGTAGTGCTAGGCTCAGCTAGACACTGTTATGACATGCGATGCAATGGCATGCTGAACCATACTGTGAGATGCACTGACACGATTAGCTCTGTCGTGCTGTGCCGTGCCATTTCATGTCATGCAACGCTGCGATGCCACGATAGGCTAGGCGGTCCTTTGCTATGCACCGGTATGTTTTGGAGGCCTCTTGGGGGCCTTTTGCGGTGCTCTTGGGGCATCTGTTTCCGCCTCTTTGGGGCCTCGTGGGGCCTCCAGGGGGCTTCCAGGGGGCCTCTTGGGCTCTGTTGGGGGCCTCTTGAGGCCTCCTGGAGGCCTCTTGGGGCGGAAGGCTCGAAATGTCGGTTCGTGTTCCCCCTCTTGGGCCCCTCTTGTGGCCGTCTTGGGGCCCTCTTGGGCGATCTTGGGCGCCTCTTGGGTCGTCTTGGGGCACTCTTGGGCCGTCTTGGGACTCTCTTGCGCCGTCGTGGCGCCCTCTTCGGGTGCCTCTTTTTTTATATGCAGAACAAGATCTGAACTTGCTCCGGAGATGTTGCCCATCGATGAGCACAAATACGCATACAACAATGAAATTGCGAGCAGGGTAAGTATGATGAGGAGCCCCAAGAGCGTGGTATTCAACCAGCAAGCTCTTTGTCATCAACTGTGCAGCACACAGACTCAAGGGACAGAACAGAAAGAAGTCCTGACGGCACATGGTCCGAAACAGAAGACTGTGCTGCGGAAGACTGGGCCCCTCGCGACTTCTGCAAACGGACGATCTGTAAAAGGCAGGTCGCTGAACATGCTGGGGTGAAACCGGTACCGCTGACGAGCGCCATCGCTCCGAAACAAAAACAATTATCAAGCGTTACGCCTCCCCACTATTGGAGGATACAAAATCCTCCCGCTTGGGAGACTGCGGACCTTGGCCGCCGTCTTGGTGCGCGAGGACATAACCTTTCGTATTCATGCAATGGCCTCACGATCGCCACCTGCCGGTGGCGCATTGAGTGCATGATGTGATTTGTCTTGTGTTTGTTTCTTCCATGTCGTCCAGCGCCCCCCTCTGAACGCAAAAAGCCGGTTTCGGCTGAGACATTCTCACGACTCGCTCTTGCACGGGCAACGGCGCGCAGGTGACGCCAGCGGTGTGCTGCCCGCGCCGAGGCGAGAGCGCCGCTTGGGCGGACTTGCGGCCATCGCGCGGAAACTCGGCGGGAGTAGTCCAACCTGCCGGCAGGATGCCCGACATCCCCAGGGGCGGCCGTCCTGGCGGCACTGAGAGGTGCGCCGAGGCCGGCCGCTGGCGGGGAGGCGGAGACTCGCCCGAGTGCAGAACGACGGGCATGACGCCACTTCAGGATTGGCCCGACTGAAGGAAGCGGGCTTCCAGAGAGACTTCTCAAAAGCCTCTGGACCCTTTCTGAGCAGGCCCCCCCCATCCTCCTGGGCTCGCCGTCGGGTCATCGGGCGACTGGCTCAAGATACTTCCCAAGAGTTCCTGAGCATCTCGCGGCCCTCGATGCTGGAGCCCGAGCGGAACAACAGGACCCAGTCAGTGGAGCCGCGCCGCACGGCGCATCGGCTAAACAGCACGGAATTGAATTCAGCAGTTCTGATACATAAACTCTCAGAAGACGTGTGGCATGGCATGGATGGATGGAACAACAGGACACCTCGAAAATCGTGGAAATGGATTGCGAACCCGCCGAGAAGGGAGGAGCTTTGGCCGCTGCGCCACCGAGCGCGGCGCGGCCATCGCCAGGACCCCGCTTCAGCAAGGTCGCCCTGCTGTCCTGCAGAGCCAAGGTTCAAACTTCCAAAAAAAAGGTAGAGGTTCTCGGCACAGACTCGCACAAGTACTCAAAAGCAGCTCCACAGAATGTACGCTGCCAAGGCTCCCCTACAACCTTCCACTGCCCATCACAGGTCGAACTTCTCTCGCAAGATCCTCATTATATAATCCAGATGCTTGTCGTGCTGTGCATGATTTGATTTCAATTCCGCGTGCAATTTTTGAATGTCAAAATTAGTGGCAACTCCTCTGAGCACCATACAGCCGTTGACAAACGTGCGAATGTAAACCTGCCCATCGCCACCGCTGTCTTCGGCCATGAACTTGAAGAATTCAACGAGGTGGTGCCTTTGGAGCCCCAAGCTCTTGAGCAGCAGCGGTATGTGGTTTTGCTGCAAGCCGTTCTCGAACTGCTCTCGCGTCAATTTTCCGGACTCGTCTGTGTCGACGGCGCGGCAGAGGCGGTCGAGCTTTTGGGCATCCACCCACTCCTGTTGCGAGAGTTCTCGGGCGAACACCTCCGGGTCTGGCTTGAGAACCGCCATTGCCGACTCCACGAAAATGCCCGTGATAATGTTCATGAGAAAACGTTGCTGTTGCCGCGGCCCCGCGCCGGTGTTGGCGCGCAGCGGCACGACAATGGAGCAAATCGATGCTACTTGGGGGCGGGCCCCCCAACAGCCACCTCCTCCACCTCCTCCTCCACAGACTCCTCTGTGCCCTCCTGTCCCTCCTCAGCCACCACTTCCTTGCCCTCGCCCTCGTCCTCCGCCGCCTCTTCCTTTTGTATTACCCCGGCATCTGCAGGCTTATCCCCGGCGTCTGCCGGTTGCTGCTTCCGCCGCCACCGCCCCTGCTCCCTCCTGGTGGGATCCGCCTGTGCGGTTGCCCCCACTCCTGGTGGGATCCGCCTGTGCGGGTGCCCCCACCCCTCCTCGACCTCTTCTTCCTCCTCCTCCTCCTCCTCCTCCTCCTCCTCCGGCATCTGCAGGCTTATCCCCGGCGTCTGCCGGTTGCTGCTTCCGCCGCCTCCGCCCCTGCTCCCTCCTGGTGGGATCCGCCTGTGCGGGTGCCCCCACCCCTCCTCGACCTCTTCTTCCTCCTCCTCCTCCTCCTCCTCCTCCTCCGGCATCTGCAGGCTTATCCCCGGCGTCTGCCGGTTGCTGCTTCCGCCGCCTCCGCCCATGCTCCTTCCTGGTGGGATCCGCCTGTGCGGGTGCCCCCACCCCTCCTCGACCTCTTCTTCCTCCTCCTCCTCCTCCTCCTCCTCCCTCTGCTCTGCCGTCTCTGCCGCTGTTCTGCCTCCCCGTTCCTCGTGGTGAGCCCTCCCCGCCTCTGCCCTGCCTCCTCGCTCCTGAACCCGCTCTTCCGTCTCCTCCTCCTCCTCCTCCTCCTCAGCCTCCTCGGCCTCCTCGTCCTGTTGCTGCTGCTCCTCCTCCCCTTGGAGGGGGTCGCCTTCGCTCTCGCTCCCTGGAGCGACCGCCCGCGCGCCCTCCGCGCGCCGTCTCCACTGGCGGCCGGGATATCTGACATCCCACGTGCGCTCCGCCACCTCCTCCATCCAGCGGAGCAGGAGCTCATCCTCCTCCCTGCTGCCTCCTGCTGGCCAGCCCCAGCGTGCCTGCAGCTCGTCCGCCGGTCGATTCGGCGCATGCCGGGGCCTGTGCTGGCTCCCCCACATGATGTGGTCCTGGTCCGGCAGGGCCTCCCCGCACCCTGGCCACACGCAGTGGCATGCCTCATCGAACTTGCCCCCCCCAGCCGCCTTCGCCGCCAGCGGCGACAGGAAGGATCCGCACATCACGTGCATCCGCGTCCCTGCTCCTGCCCGCGCCGCATTCCTGGCCAACTTCACGCGGGCCTCGTCGTAGGCGACGCCCTGCGTCGGCGCCACATCCCGCCGCCTCTGGCGCTTGAACTGCTGCCAGCTCCACCAGCGCCAGCCCTCTCGGACCTTGTGCATATGCCGGGCATGCACATCCTTCTCGACCTCGTCCTCGGCCGGCCTCTCCTGCAGGTCCAGCTCTGTGCCCGTGCCAGGGTGCCGCCATTTCCAGGCGCCCTCCTCCTCCTACCAGCCCATTTTCCGCAGCCAGCACCGCACCTCCCCCGCCAGGGTGCCTCGCTTGCGGTACCATCTCGTGTACCAGGGGGCATTGCCTCTCCTCCGCAGCCGCCTCCGCATCGTGGCCACCTGCCTGCAGCCAATCACCACGTCAGCCGCGAGCGTACCACCCTCCAGGATATTCATAATGTGCCTGGATCCCATGGGGCATCCTCTTGCGCTCCGCCGGATTGCCGCCGTCACCCGGTCAGCCTTAGCCCTCGGCGGGGTCTTGGCCATCCAGCCGTAAGTCTCCTTGGACAGCCCGAAAGCCCGGCAGTACTCCTGCTTCTTGCGCCTGCTCACAGGCAAGCATTGTAGGCGCCGGATCTCCCGCATTGCGCTCTGCATCCTCTCCTCCTCCTTGGGGTGCATATCGCGGCCTCGTGCTCCCACCGTGACCACTCCCAGGGCCTCCATCACCGGGAACACCTTGTCCTCCAGCCCCTGCCGTGCCGCCTCCTCGCGCAGCTCCCCGTCCTCTCTGCGACCGCGGGCGACTAACTGGATCTTCCGTGGGTTCTCGCGCAGCCCCACGCGCGCGCTCCAGCGCCTCCAGACTGCCACCCGTCCTACCGCCTCCACAGCGGTCGTCGCGGTCCAAGTCCTGTCGTCCATGTAAATGGTCGACCGCGGCTCTCTGTTCTCGCGTCTCCCTGGCGCCCTCCGTCTCGGCTGCCCGCGCCCCGCGGCCTGCGCGCGCTGCTCGCCCTCCGCCTCCTCGTCCTGCCTCAGCTCGTCAGCGCCCTCCGCTGGGTGGCTCTCCGGGCGCGCCGCGCGCCGTGCTGTCTCCTCTGCCGCCCCCTCTGCCTCTTCGCTCCTCAGCTTTTCTGCGTCCTTCTCTGCCTCCTCGTCTGCCTCCTGCTTCTCCTCCTCCTCCTCCTCCGCCTCCGCGTTCTGCGCCCCTGCCTCTGCCTCTGCCTCCTCCTCTGCCTCCTCTGCCTCCTCCTCCTCTGCCTCTGCCTCCTCTGCCTCCTCCGCCTGCCTCCGCACCCAGCGGGTGCCAGCCCCCATCCAAACGTTCAGCGCCAGAGGCCCAAACGGGTCCCCCTGCGGCAGCGCAGCCCTGGCAACGAGGGCTTGCGGGCTCACATGGCCATTCCAGATGACCCACCTCCGCTGGTCCGTCCACATTGTCTTGCAAAGTCGCGTGATCCTCCGGGGCCACCCCGCCCGCTCCATCAGGTCACATGTGACTTCAGGGTGCATGTGGTCGTAACACAAGGAAAAGTCAAGCGTTCCAGCAAACCCCTGCTGGGCCAGATTATCCGCAATATCCGCAGCGGCTTCCTCCGCGCCCTTTGAGCGCGCCCCTCCAAGCACCTCCTCAGGGATATGGTGAGATGGAGAATGGAGCAAACTAATCAAGGAATAGCTCCATCGACAACAAAACTAATCACCAGCTGGATCAGCTTGGCGTAGTCGCTGTGCTCTGTCATCAGCAAGAATACGAAGCCCAAGCTCACAAGCCGCTTTCATCATTCTTGCTCGCATTGAAAGAGTCTGAGCCTGGCCACGGACAATCCATCCAGACTTAGAGGTAACTTTAGGTACACTTGTCCAAAAACTCGGGTGGGCACGATTTGTGGCGGCAACAGCGCCACGAGCAGCTTGATTGTAAGGGCAGTCTGCCCAGATGTGACGGAAGGACGGCCATGGGTCATCGCAATGCGGACAAGGTTTTCCCGACTGGCGCCTCGTTTCTGATGATACTGCCCCCGAGAGAAAGATGCAGAGCATTTTCTTCTTGGACTCATCCAGGCCTCTGGCCCACTTTGCAAAGTAAGGGTGCGAAGGAACTTCAATATCCACTGACTCGATTTCCTCCGCGTCATGTCTCTTAGAATTGACTTGCTGAAGACACCGCAGGCGGGCCACCTGCCGAAGGGCATGCTCAACACGTCGCTGGTAACGCTTGTCCTGATTTCTCCGAGTCCAAAGCCGCGTTGTATTGGGAACAAATAGAATTCGTACTGCGTCCAGGACACGATGATCATCACTAGAGTCACACTCGAGTAAGACTCCCTGCTGCTCTGAAAACCTGATGAGAGTGAGACCCAGAATCGTAGCATGTGCACTCAGGGAGTGCTCCAGAAACTCCGACCATGCAAGAGACTCGTCCATCACTTGAAAGGCGTATAGCGCTGCACCATATCTCGGATGAAGGTGAATTCTTTGGGCCCACCACCGGCCTTGGCACCACCACTTCGTGGAAGTCCTGATGATAGCCCCGCGCAGAAGCCGAGGTACATCTTCAGGAACTGGTGCAACCAAGGGAGCCGCCCAATACCATAGGGGCCGTATGTAAGAGACAGCCAGGCGCTCTCGAACGTCTGCTCCACCTGGGATGGACTTCAACGTCTCGATGGCCTGGTAAACTTTCTGCCAGCCCTTCCTTGGCAGGATCGGATACTCTGCATCTGCTGGCCGACACTTCAGGCCCAAATGTTCAACAACACGCGGTGGGTCATCATCTCGGCTCCAACGTTGGCGCTTGCTTTGGTTCTCGGTGAAACCGACGTCTTGATCAAACTTGGTCGCGAAATCGAGCTCATCATCAACGATAGCACTCGTAGCGTTTGTCAAACTACGATCGCCCATGTAGGCCATTCCACCACTGGGCTGCCACGGCACTAGGCAGGCACACATGCCAGCAGGAGCAACTGCATCCCCTTGCGGCAATCCACGCTCAACATAGATAGGGCTCGTCACCTCGCCTGCGACACACAAATGCCGTGGGCCACGCCAAGCCGCGAGGGCGGTGAAGACGGCGCTGTGTGGAACTTCTTCGCGTAGAAGAGCTTCCACTCCGATTTCGTGATCGATATTGTCATACGCACGGGAGAGATCCATCTCGGCCCCAGCTTCCGAATTTGAAACTTCAGCAAGCCACTTGGCAATGGCTTTCACACAAGAAATCCCACGCTCGCACGCCCACTGATTGGACGTAGGAGTTGGCAACGAAGTCGCCAGAGCAGACATCCAACATCTTACAAGTAAAGAGCCAACTGATATCGGTCGAAGATCTGTCTCACTTTTAGGAATGCCGACCACCCTCCACCCAAAAACCAGGTCACTGAAATCCTGTGGAAGATGGCCTTGAAGTTCAACAGCCCAAAGCGAAGTCTGGCACCACAGCTCATGTAGCTCCAGGATCAGCTCAGGGAACAACTTTCGTACAGCTCGCAATTCATGCGCCCCCCACCCGTCGAGGCCAGCAGCACCTTTTGCATGCGATATAATATAGTCCAGCGTATCAATTGAAGGCAACCAATCCACTGGCCTGTCGGACTTTGGGAATCCCACATTGTCTGCATACCTTTTCCAAGCGCGCAAGTGTTGACGGGCGCGATCAGGAGGGCCACCTGAACACTACTGCTGTTGCCAATCATCCCGCATTTCCTTGGCCCCGAAGGGCGGCGCTGGCGCTGCCTGCCTGAAGATAGGGGTCGTCAGCCTGTAGAGATCTTTCGACCACGTCGCAAACCTCTTTTTCCATTCTTTAGACTTCTGCAACTGCATGACTTTGTTTTCCTTCGCAATGGCGGTAGAGACAATCTCAAGCGCATCTGCGCACGTTGGAAGGCCGTCCTTCGGGCACAGAATACCATCGATGCCCGCCTGGCCGAACTGCTGCAGGTGCTTGCCACTGAGCACTTCATCTGGCGTGTGCTCACCACCTGCTCGTATATAGTTAGAACACCGTCGATGGAGTCGTAGAAGCCCCCGCAACGCGATGGTCTGCTCTGGTCGGTGCAGGGATCCTGTCCCGACTGGGCGCGTGGAAGGCGCCGATCCTTTCGGCCTCTCGGCCTGCCTATCCACGATGACGAGGTCGTGCTCCACAGCGATGCGTAGCCCAAGCTCTGCACTTCGATGCCAGCGTTGCCAAGCTTCATACAAGGAGGGGGGCCCATCTGATTGTGCTGGTCACGCTGATCAAGTTCATCTTGTAGCTGCTGACACACATCCTCTGGCGGAGCTCGCTGGATAACATAATCAGCTGTATGATGGAGCCGTACCATGGCCCTAGTCCACAAGGGAACTTGAGTACGATACCTGACAAGCCCATGGTGAGGAATGCCAGGAAGCAACTTCATGCCTTCGCACTGCGGAGGCTGCGCTGTTTGACTTCCGAAATTGTTCATGAGATCGAAATTAACGAAAACTATGAAGATCAAGTATAAAACACTCCCCATAACGCCAGTAGTCTCGATCTGTTCGTACGCCACTTCCCAGCCAAGGCCACCAGTGCATGCCATATGGAGCGTCAACATTGCCTGTGCGATCGACCCGAATGAATCAAAGAAAAAGGTCTCCTCCACAACCTTACCTGTCTCGATAAGGTGTCCAGTGATGATCTGCACCAGGAAGAGCGCGAAGATGCTGTAGACCAGAACAACCATACATAGACTCCACATGAGGCTCGATATCGAGCCCCGTATGCAAACCATGAGAGCTCGCAAATGCTTAAAATGGGTCATAGCCCTCAAGACTCGCCTCGCCCTCCCGATCTCAAGAATACGGAGCACTCTCAAGAAGCTGACCGAACTTTTTGTTGTGACCAATGAGAGGAAGCCTAAACACACCAATGCCAATTCAAATACATTGATCCTCCATGACGGGCTACAGAAGAACCAATGACGAAACACCCAGAGCTTCATCGCCATCTCGATCGTGTAGATCGCCTGGAAAACACAATCGCCAGCAAACGCCCAGGAGTCGTCACGATACGGATCCTTGATCTTCGCGTCGGCAACATACATCATCCAAACAGAATTGATGACGATGGTGACGGTGATCGCCCCCTCGAAGACCTTGCCCGAGGTGAAGTGAGCGACGCGCCCAACGGGGGCCGGCGGCTCAATGTTCTGCAGCCAATCCCAAAAGTCAGCAGCCTTCTGCCTCAGGCGGTGAACGAAGATCATGTCACCGACCTCGGGGCCGAAGTCTTCGGGGATGGTTGAGGTGACGGACTTCACGAACTTGGAGAAGTGGGCCACCGCCGCGGCATCCATACTCGCGGACGGATCGTTATCCGAGGAGTCGCGGCCAGACTCCACACAGGCGACCTCCAGACTTCCCCTCTCCTTCTTGCGCAAAAGGCAAGAGTCTTCCTGCGGAACCTTGTGCGGCTGTGTGCCGATGTCGACGCCACTGCCTGGTGCCGAGGGCGCCTCTGGAGGCGTCCCCTTTGGATTCGAGGGCGCCCGAGGCCCAGCCCTGGAAGCCAGCGCCTGCCCCGCACAGTCGCTGGTCGCCACGCCCTTCGAATGCTCCGGCACGGACCTCTTGCTCGCTTGGCTCCAGCGCCACAGGGCGGCCTCCACCTCGCTCCGCATGGCGTTGCGCATGTACCCGCCCTCCACGAGGAGGTCGATCAGCTCGTCGTGCACGGCCGAGCGGAGGGCATCACGCTCAGGCTGGGGCGATCCTTCCATGACGCCCCGTCTGCACGGTACGTGGCACTTCCCCCGGCCCGGCAGCAAGCGTCTTGGACCGAGTCGCTTGAGCCAAAATGGCTACGGACCCTCTTCGGGTGCCTCTTGGGCCGTCTTGAACTGATTTCTTGGGCCTCGTGGACTGTCTTGGACCGTCGGAAGCACGCAACAGCAAGAACAAGAAACACCTTCAAAAACAATCGAACACATCGACTTGTTTCGCCTCCTGAGTGCCTCGTGGGAGTCCTTTTGAGGGCATGTTGGCCGTCTTGAAGCCATTTGGGGCTGTCTTCAAACCACGTTGGA